CCCACCCTTGTCAGAGGATTTCTTTCGCGGCGCGTTTGCGTCGCGCAAACGCGCCTCGACGCGCCGGCTATAATTTCGGAATAACGCGCCGACAGTGGTGCAGCCACCGTTCCGGCCGCGGCTAACGTCGATGCCCCCTGTCCCTGCGATGGCATGTCCTTTGTTACGTCTTTTCAGCGAAGTTATAGTTGAGGGATCATTTGATGGCTACGCATCCCGTAGAATGCGGGACTGATTGGTTAGGTCCCATTTCATTTATGATGTTTTGCTATTCGTTGATTGGGTTAGGTATAAGGAGGAACTATAAAATACTCATAGTGGAAGAGTTTTCTTGATCATGTGGTTTGTCTACTAGGCAGTAGCATAAAGAAAATATTCGAAGGTAAGCACGATATGCTGACAGATAGGGTTGTCTCAGTTGCACCCTGCTCTGTTCACTGGTAGTAGTTAATCAACGTGTTAATCGGCTGCTTCTTAGCATCGCTTAATCTAGCTAATCCTCTTCCGTAGACTAGAGAATGAGACGAAAGAATGGATGTAAATAAAGATTAGCACGTTGAAAGTCGAGAAAATTGATATTGAATCAAAATATTTAGTAACACAAGGAGCTAGGTAATAGTGTAGTATAAGTACTGTAATACCAAAACATTAATAATTATTTCAAATACCTTTATTATAAATTAGCCTTTATTATAAAGGAATAAATCTTACCATAACGAAACGCTCGAAATTCTAGTGGCAGTCAACGTGTTAATGGTAGCTCATTTAGGTACTCTGAATACTAGTTATGGCGGCAAAATGAAAATTGTCAGCGCTACAACTAATGTAGATCAATGGACCTTTGTCCACTAGCATAGCGCTCGCATTGGTTTACATTGGTTGCAGCACTGAAGCGTACGGCAACCGTCATTTTGTCGCGTACGCTAGGGCCAGTGGACAGAATGTCTGAATTAGCTGTCGTATATTTTTGGTCACGTTCACGGTTTTGTTTCGTTGGCGAAGACTACAAACTATGGAAACAAACGAGCTGAATTGAAAAGTGTTAGGAAACAATCGATTAATACGTTGTCTATTACTGGAATTTTGAAGATTGTGTATGATATAATTCATCCTTTCATTGGAAAGGTAAGTCGTATTGGAAATGGTTATTAATGATTCTACTAATAAATACTAATGAATACCTACTTTTTCTTGACCTTAATCTTTTTATTACAAATGTTTTCAAACAATTCGAAGAGATTCTGTCACCGGCGACCGCCATGACAGTCATCATGTTAAACTACGTAGAACAATTGAATCCGTCTAAATGGCAGATATCAGATTTATTGTTTTACATTGCAAATATTATGAAAGTGCTTTCATTGGAATTTATATTGATTTTATGGATTTATAGAATGAAATAATAAAAATTCTCTTTTCGATTGATGGTTTTTATATAATACATTTGCAAGAACGTAAGGAATATACAGCTTGCTTGGCAGACAAGCACTTGGTAGCTTTTGTTTCCCGCAACGTGTGAAGCCTCATTGAATCACATCGTCTCACTTGAATTTCAATGCTCCCCCCTTTTTTCGTACGAATCTCACTCTTGAAACAAAAGTCGATGACTGTAATTATCGCGAAATGTGTCTGTAGTGGCGGCACTTAGGGCGCGGCGTCAATCTCGAAAAAAGTCGTTTCATATCGATATTCACTTCAAAAGACTGAACATGTGCGATCTTCAACACTCGAGAATTATTCATGTAACTTTGAAAAAATTCTTTGTGGCATTAAATAGTTTAAAATATGTGTTTATTACTTACTTATAGTAGCACATAATATCAATGTACTATAAATCATTCTCTATCGTATTAAATATTAAAGTAACATTTGTATTTTTGTTGTAAGCAAGATTGCACATAGATTCTTGGAATGAAAAGAGATAAATTACTTTTGAGAATTCTGAGGAGAAACGTTGTTTCATAGAGTAATGGTTTATGCAAATTGTACCTGTATTTTACAATTGTTCATGCCTGAATCAGTGATTGACTATGCACATGAGCGATAATAAGCCATCCATTAAACGCCTATTAGCCATATATTATCGAAGAGATCATTGTTAATCATGTGGCTAAATGCCAGGATGAATAACAAATCAGGACGTCGGTTTAACATTCACAGGATAATCAAATTTTGATTGTATTGAAGTTCAGCGATATTTTCGCGACGTTGTTGTGAAACATTAATTAAATTTCATCGAAATTTTAAACAAATATATGTAATGCTAAAGAAAGCGTAAATTAACATCACCGATCAGTTTTATTTATTTCCATTTCTATGAAAATTATTAACTTACAGGAAATCCCTGTTTACATTGCCACTTGAAGAAACGTAATCACTGGTTATCACTAATTTCAACCTATGAACTCTTCATTACAGTTTCTTGTTTCACATTAATAATGTCATCTACCCAAAAAAGCCTATCTGATAAGTAAACTGAATAAGTTCACACAGTTTCCAATATTCAAAAATAAATTTCACAAACTCAACATCAAATAAAAACATCCCTTTTCACGCAGAATTCCGATATATCCGGCGCAACAGAAAAATTAGGAAAAATTCCCTTATTACGGGCAATTTGTTACATTTTGCGGGATCAAGTGTTCCATAAACACATCAATATCAACAATCTGCCAATAAAATAAACTCTCAATGTGTATTTTTCATTCGAAAACACATACAGCGAGATTTCTGTGTAAACCTGTTTGAACTCAATGTCCGCTTCGCGCGTCCGCAAGACCGTCCGCCATTTCGCAAGTCACAGTGTATATGTATATACATATATATAGAATGAGCATTGAATCTGATCGAAATTTTTCTCTTTTTTCAGAAAGCACGAGTTCACATTGCGTGGGCTGCGGCGGGCGAATCCACGACCAATGGATCCTGAGAGTTGCGCCGAACTTGGAATGGCACGCCGCTTGTTTGAAATGCGCGGAGTGCCAGCAATTTTTGGACGAGCATTGCACCTGTTTCGTACGGGACGGAAAAACCTACTGTAAACGGGATTACGTCAGGTAACGGGCTAATCTGTAATGACGTTTCAGATAATACAATTATTTTATCTGTAATTCTTCATCTTCCGTTGCGCTAACGTTTCATCATCGTATTCTAAAGAATCTGCTGGTTTAACCAGTTAAAAGGCTTATTTCGTTAAACGAGTATACGCGTCATCTTAGAACTCTAAATGATGCTAACTTTTTTAACGTGTTGGATACCGTGGGAGTCACTGGTGACCTCAACCAAATCGAATTACTACGATTTATTCAATTAAACGATGATTATTTGGAAACTTTTGTGTGTTACTACTAGCACTACCTAATATAGTGACATTCAATAAGATAAACTTGCAATAATAATAACGCATTTCAATCACATAATTTGATATTAGATTATTTTCATTTTGTATATTTTTCTCGACAAAACGTATTAACAATAGACTATTTATTTTTTTTAGACAAACGTGTAGGATAGACCGAGGTGTATTCTAATTATAATTAAAACTTTACGCAAATGTGGTCGAACTACTAACTTACTCTGATCAGAGCTAAAGAAAGTGATTCATTGTTAGATCTAAAGTTTAGTTAAAGTTTTATAGTAAAAATGAATGGTTGTATTTCAAAGATAAATCATACTATTGATGTCAGTCGAGCTTGCTTCCAGTGATTCTTTGTCGAAAAAATATCGATGAAACTCGTGTCAATGATTTCAACATAAACCAATATGAACTACGGAAAAAATACAGTTCTCAAGGACCAACACGAAAATCGTATTTAGTTCGTTATAGTAACGATTCTTTGTGAAAGATCCTTTGGGCAGGCTAGATAAAGATAAATGAATCGAAAGAATGAAAGCTGAAAGTTTTTAATCGACTTCGACACGCGGAAACTAATGAAAAACCATCTAGAATACTAGTCACCACGTGTAAATGGGGTTTTCGTGTAAACTGTCTACAAAATGGTGAATTTTTCAGATAAAAACCGCATCTTGCGGCGCGCGGTTGAAAACACCGTCATGGTACAGTTTACAATGAGATCTATGTAACAATGGCGTTGTTACGAAATCTATGTAGCAATGATAGTTCTCTACAAACAACGAGAATGTTGTTATAGATCTATATTAATCACAAATATAATTTTCTCTTCCATAGACATCGAGATATTTAGACTATTTCATTCAAAGAAATTTAACATAAATTTAACAACCTGTTAGCTAATTCAATTAACGAACGATAAATTATCAAAATTTCATTTTCTTTTCTTCTGTATACTTCCGTGCATTTTCTTGTATACCAAAGAGTTTATTTAGCCTGTAAATAGTAGTAAATAAAATAAAATTGAAAATAACGAAACTATTTTTAACAACACTAAAAGGAAAATATGTCTAGCGTTATATATATTTTTCGAGAACAAAAAATTATTTTCTAACCGTAATCCTCACAGAGAATGATAAACTCATATACTTATAAACGAGAAATCGACTAACCGTTAATCGTTAATTTAAATAAATACGTTTCGCTTTTCGCGCGCGTATCGGGATACCGTGTATTAATTTCCACGATAGACGGAAAGAAGAGGAGGAAAACGTTTCCTGACTTTGTACTAAATAACTGTACGTTTATCTGATGATAATTAACAGCTACGACATTTTTCGAAGTAGAAACGCATCCGTGAAATCTCGTTGAAGGGTAAGAACTCGGTGCGATCGAGTGCATTATGGTAATTAATGCAAAGCTGGCAGCATTCTCGGACGACACGCGATACGGTCTTTTTGGTGCGCATTTGCGAACGGTGGGATTCCAGGGGAGCAAGAGAAAAAAAGGGCGCGCTAGCGGCGCAAAGAGGGAGGAAACGAAGAAAGTAAGAACTGACAGAGCATTTCTTCGGAGTATTTCTGTCCGAGATATGCCGTGCAGAAGTTGCCGTCCGGTCCGTTCCGTACGGGGAAATGCATCCGTGGCAAAACAAATGCGATTCACACGTGGTTGCGTCGAACCTGTGAAATGGAATGCAGAATTAAGTGTTCTTGCTACTTTGTAGCGATAAAAGGAACCGAATATTCATTTCACACTTCCGGAAAACGTTCGTATATTTGGAAAGATTGGATAAACTAGTAGTTTGATAAATCGATGGATTAATTAACATGGGCAACGGACTGTGGATGCATTAAAATGCATCCAAAACGCGTATCTATTAGATTATTGAAAATATCCATAAAAAGTTTGCATAAAAATATTTTTAATTTTCTATTTTCCAATATTATAATTAAGAATTATAAATAATGTGTACAGTAATAGCATGCTTATACAACGTTAAATGCATAATTGGTGAAAGGAATGGTACAAAATATGAAACAGAAATAGAATAATTAATTTCTTTAATTTATGCACGAGTTTCCCTCGTGCAAATTTCGAATAGTATTATCAGTATTTCATCAGGAAGTAATGAGCATTTGTAATAAAAAATATTACCGAGTGCAAAGGGTTAATAACATACCGTTAAGCTCCTAGTTTAATTACTGCAATAAATAAACTTGAATTTGTATTCATTAGAGGAAAGTATAATGATATACAACTGCGCGAACCGAATTCTAATGATATTTATTATATTCTTTAGGAAGAATCATTTTCTATCATAAGTCTTTTCTTAATTGCATTCTTAACACATTGCACACTGGTAACGAGAAATCTTGTTTTTATATAAAGACACATAGCTATGTAACTTCGCTAATTATGACAGCACTAAAAATAATATTAAATTTTATTGGAATGATTATCTATTTAAAATATATTACATAGCAATATCATATTTGAGTTGTTCCATGTATAGCGATGATTTCACTGAAAATCGCCAACCGCACAATTCAGTTTTCTGAAAATCAGCCGGTACGCAATGTGCTAACAACTGAAATTTGGATAAAGATCCAAAGTCGAGTAACAAACGAATGAAACTAGGGTTTACAAACTAAGGAGCTACCGCGAAAGGAAACGGTGAAAAGAAACAGCAACGGATTCGTAGGACCGAAACGTCGCTCCGTTTCCAACGTAATCCGAAACGAGTGGTGTCTTCAGGGAGGAGGAAAACGAGAGGAAAAAAAAGGGGTGGAGGGAACTTTTTAAACCGGCAGCATCGATCGAGGGACGATCTCCTGGCAACCTGCGCCAAATATTTTTCCTTCGGGAACAGGCGGTTTATTTGCATTGATCCATCGGACGTCGAAATGCCTGCGAAGACGACGAAGGAGACTGGCGTATCCGGTCGACACGGATTTGCCAGACCCGGAGAGACATCGATGACGCGTGTTTGTTGTTTCTATCGCCTTGTTCGAAAAGTCGAAACAACCGTGGTAAAACGTTCCCGTCTGGGTGTTCCTCGACCGCCCCTCCCACGAGTAAATTTGTCTGATTGCGTGATCTTATTTCTTACGTTCGGCCGAACGAAGTTTCCGGTGATCTTGATCAATACTCGATGATTAACTATATAGTACAATATGACGTTTATATTAGATGGTCTCGTGAGTAATGTCGCATTTTTAAAGGTAACTTTTTATTTTAAAAATTCAATAATAATAATAATAATAATAATAAAAGTTTGTAATATTAAAAAATACTTAGATACGTTTTTCTTTTCTTTTAATTGTCGACGTATTGATGACTTCGATTAATCTTTTGATGCCATTTTTTAAATAGCGTTGAAAAGTATCGCATAATGTAAGATAAGAAATGACATTGCGCTTGGGATGATCTAATATTATCAGGTACAAGAAAATATTATGAATAATGTTATTATATTAGATTGGCAATTAAGAGTGTGATCGGTTGTTAAATTATTGGTGTTATTTGTTGGTGATTAGTTGAAAATGGTACTAACGACCTAGATGTGTAATTGTTTGAATATTCCTGAAAAATATGGGAAAAAGGTATTCGATATTGATGTTTAATTAGATCGTTTGATTGAATATCGTCAATGTTTTCTTGCGAGCTAGAAATAACCGAAATATCATCTTAGATGACATAAAGTAGAAATATAAATTACATTTTCTTACTTTTATTACAGATATAAATAATATAATTATAATTATAGTTATATTTTATTACTCGTTTTTTCTCTTGGTATACTAATGTACTGCGCTCGCTGAATAAAGAAAAAGTTACACGAGAACATGGTATGTAATATTGAAACTCTAAACTGAGAGAAATTAAATCTTCGATCAACGTCGTTGGAACGTCGTGATATAATTAAACGAATTCGATTGATCGAGTTGGGATTTGATAATTGACTGACGGCTACGGGATTCAATTACGTGGTCCACGGAAGATTTTTTAATAAAATTTAGCAATTTCAGTATCATTTGGTATTTAATGGAATTTGTCTCTTTCGGTCGTATCGAAAGTGTGCTAACGGAACGGTAATTGATTAATCGAGTAGACATGTACCGTAAATTTCCCGTGTACGCGTAGCATCGAATAAAAACACGTAAGCTCAAGATATAAATAGTGACAAGATGGAATTTAATTTCATGTGATTTAATAAATCATATAATAAAACTTGACACGTAATCTGATCAATTTCGCAGTCAGCTTACGATCATTCATGATTAAATTACGGACACCCGTATAATCCTCACTTAAATCCTACTAACTTTATTAACAAATCCATTACTATAGAAAATCAACGTTGAAACAGTTGCTTTTTGCATAAAAATTTGCATCGCTAATCGGAATATTCCAAATCCGAATTAAATATTATTTCAAATTTTGTACACATTAACGTATAATATACCTTGCGTTTTGAACCCTTACTACAATTAATGAGCAATCAAGGGGAATAACAAATATTTTTACCACAATAAACTATAAACACCTCGATAATTTCAGTGCGTGCAATCGGTCATGCTCTGATACAAATTCATACAGTTACATAGAATTTCCCATACAATTTCATACAATTACAGTCGTAATGCAAACGGATTAAAGTCTACTTATATCATCAGACGAGCATAACATTTATTTTTAATTTTGTAAAATCAAAAAATTTCTTTCGCAATACTTTTCAACAATTAATAAATTTATTTAAAATTCATCAAATTCATTTTCGTCACGCATCAGAGACATTTTTCAAAAATGCTTTTACATTTATTTTTACAAGATATGTCTTACACAGCATTATTATTAACTGAACAATTTCCATTGTTCCAAACGCGAATCGTTTCAATTAAAATATTCTCCAAAATGTCAGCCGTCGCATGTTTTATACTAAAACTACGGTTAATTAAGTAGTCAAATAGATTTTCTCAAATTTTTCTGTAAGAACTCTAAGCATACAGCTATTGACACTTCAATTGACTTACGATTCAATTCGTATATTACTAAATCAATTTCTATAATAATTCCACAGAGAATCATCTGTTATGCTGTTAGGAATTGGCAAAGAAAAATGTAGGAATGGGTCAATTTGACCACTTTGGTAGTTTCATTGCTAAAACGTAACGTGTCGAAACATATCGATACGTTAAATATAGACATCTGTATCAAGTAATCCATAAAAATATTTGTCAAAATGATCTGTGCTTGAATGGACAATGTAACTCGACCCGATAATATATTAAGAACAATGAAAAATGCAAAACGTGCAGATCGAATAACCAGCGATGCGATTTGTTCCAGATTGTTTGGCACGAAATGCGACAAGTGCAGTGAGTGCTTTAGCAAGGACGACTACGTGATGAGGGCAAAGAGCAAGATTTATCATATAAAGTGCTTCCGATGTTCGGCGTGCATGAGGCAGCTAGTACCTGGTGACGAATTTGCTTTGAGACAGGACGGTCTTTTCTGTAGACACGATCACGACGTCCTCGAGGGCGGGAAGCTGTGCTCCGGGCCCGGCGGCGTTCCTGGAAGCGAGAATAATAACAACGCATCCCTTATGAATAATAATCACCATCTGCATCCCAACGACGGCTCGATATCAGGTAATGGAAGTATTCCTTGTTTCAAAAATTCTCCGTTGCACCAGAGTTGGCACTTGGGCTAGTATAAAGGCAAGAAGGGTTTTATTGTGTTCCATATATAGTTTCGATTTAACCAGCAGATTTATACGAAAATTCAAATATTCGAACACCGAATTAGAATAGAAATATTTTCCGAGAAAATATAAAAAGCACTTCGAATATTTCATGTACACTTTCGTATCGGTGCATTCTGTGCAATGTTCTCTTTCAAATTTCCCGTAATTGCATAGAAACCCGCAGTCTGCTGATGACAATAACATAATGGACATTTCATATTCATCCCCTATATACGCTCACTGATGAAAAATGCAAGGGCAGCGGCTCGCGCAGTGTCCCAAAATGGATCAAGATTGAATGACAGTATCATAACTTCTATCACGCAAGGCAAACGAGCGTAACTTATTTGCGGATTAAATTGTCTGGACACGGACTATCGTGGCACAAAGGGCAAATTTGCAAAAGGGTATCCCGCTTCCCGAGGGGAAGCACAAAAGGACCACCCCCGGTGTAACGGTATTGTGTTAGGATCCTCGGGGTCATAATTAGGTGTTGATAATTGAAGCCGTTAAGACCTGGAAGGCTTGACCATTTCCCTCCTACGCGGCCGGATTACACGGGATTAGTGTTCCGCGCGGCGGCCGTGTTCTAATATGTGCGCGCACATCGGTCGGATTAAACGTCCAATGAGGTTCGCGTTAATCACGAGCTAATTACACGGGAAGTTATATCGGTATATCACATCACGCGGATCGCTAGAATTGATGAACAATATATAACAGGCTGATAACATCGTTCCACCGCGCGGACACCCTAGGACAATTCGGTGTTTGTTGTTTGCCGTTTTAATTAACTTAAGTTAAATCGTTGTGTTAATATTTGTTTACCGAATTTATGTGTCGCGTCTCAATTTGAACGGGTACACGTCGGTTTTTAACACTTTCGTCGTCCCAAGGAGGGTCTTTCTAGACCCGGGAACGTAATGTACAGGGTGTACATATGATTTATTGATCGGTCTATTGGCTGATAAGTATGAAGTGTGTTGTTTACAAAATTGAAGGTCGTGAAGGAACGCGATAAAAATGTTGTTTGTTATCCGTTTTGTTGGTCATAGAAAACAGTAAAATGTTTTTTCTTTTTTTTTAATATGGAAATGTAAAACTTGATAGTATGATATATGAATTTTTAAGGAAACATTCGACATTCGTAAAGATAAAGTGTTGCCTGTCAATAGATGCTGATTTACAATGAAACACTGAGGCACACGCAATTTATTTGACTTATTTGCGTGAACTGTGTATAATTTATAACCTGTTTTACAAGTGACCTTCCAGTTAATGCAGACATTCAGAAAAAAAGAGGAAAATAAACTGATTACAAAGTAGTTTTACAAGTTAAATAAGTAAATTAATCAAAATCGCGTCAACATCAGCAGAATCAATTACGTTGCTGCACATAATATGTACATAACCGACGGGTCAAAAGTGACCCGACGGTTGAAGTCTAAATTCTAAGTTCAAAACCCGACTCAATGAGTATCATTTCTTTTTTACAATCTCTGAATTATTCAATTCCTTAGTTAACCCTCTACCCTTCGATTTATTTCTCAACGATGATCGATGCAACAACTTCGCTATTAATAATTTATTGAAGAAAGAGTAATCAACGCACAACAATACAATACAATATAGTAATCGATAATAGAAGAAAAATATTTCATTCGAATTGAAATGAATCGAGTAATATCTATGTTTGTTAAATCCTATTGGAAATCTTCACCGTGACTCTCACGCGTTATCGTAAGGCAAAGGGTTAAAGAGACCAACAAAATAACCAAATACACGTTCAAAACGTTTGTGCCAACGGTCTGATTATGAGTCCAGGAGGAGCCACGAGTAGTTAGAATCACTGGTAAGGTAAGGGTTAAATCACGCAGCCAATGATCGAGCAATTTTTCTTATTCACCGTATATTTAGACGGATGGTCTAACAACGTGGCACCAGGTTGCTTAATCGATGATAATTGAAGGTTGTGTGGTACGTGTGACACCAGGGGCTACCTGGAGCGTAGTTCCTAATTCCCGCGTAAACAATTTCCTAGTGTCGCGCGCGACCGGCACATATTCTATGGTGTTTGTCACTTGACTTCCTCATGGAAATTGTTGCGCCTAAACATCTTTCCCCGATGCACGAAACCCGTGGACCACGGGACCGGTGACGGCAGTGGTTTGACAACTCTTTACAGAGGTGCCGAGGTGTCAAATGTAGCACCTCTCTGCCAACTACCGTGGCACATAACTACGCACGATCTCTATCATTTCCTTTCCATCCTTCCTTCTCTCTTTTTTTTTCTTTCATGAAAGTTTATTCAATTCTCCCCCCCTCCATCTTGGGAATCTGTGTCCCCCTTTACGCGAGTTAATGGGAGGACCTGCTACGAATTCACGTATAAGCCGCTCCACGTGCTGAGGTTTCACCGTACAAATTGTTTTCCTGCTCTATTGCTTGTAATTTCGGTGGTCGTTCGTGCCTCCTGGAAACCCTTTCTTATAATAGTTTATTCTTCTTCATCGGAGAAGCGAAATGTTCCTTTAGGATGCTTGGTGAATTACTGGTTCGTGAAATACAGAGTTTCGATCATCTTTCATTTCTTGCGTTGACAACAATAGTTAATGTGTTCTATTGTATTGATAGGTGATTTACGTGTTTCGTAATGAAACAATTCGAGGACAGGTGTATTTAATTATTTGATGAAAAGTTTCCAGGTATGAAGAAATAAAACCGTCTTTAACCCGTTGCACTAGGAAATTTTCCACTGGAAATATTTCAACATTTTCTGATGAGATAAAAACAATATTTTGCGAAACTAACTCGGAGAGAAATCACTCGTACGAGAGGAAAAGCTATTTTATTTCAATATTTCTCGAACTGATGTATTATACAAAGTATAATATTAAATATCAAATTTTATAGTTTTACTGTATGAAATCAAGTGGCGAGAGTCACTTCTCGAGTGCAAAGGGTTAATGATATAAGAGTTTCTTCTAATTTTCTTCTAGTGAGTTCATTAGCTTCTTTGGATCTCATTAAAAAATATTAAACTCTTATTTTGCACTTCGTAAATCGTACACTATCGGAGCTGATTCTAATACTTTTGAACAGTAGCGTATTTTGTGTGTCGATTATTATTTATATCAAAGAACAAGATAACAATGACCAGTAGCGAAGTATTTCGTATTCGTCGTTCGTTTTTTCCATCAACCTTTTGAATACGTTTGGAAAAATAATCAATGTCGGATTCCGTTCGTTCTATCGACCTCCTCGCCTCTCGTCATCCGCGAACACTCGATTTCGTGTGGCGACCAAATCCTTTCGAAGGACACTGCCGAGGAAACTGGATCCTTATCGCAGCACGAGTTACTTATTACTCGTTAATTGGGAGTTAATGAAATTCGACTCTCAACAGGTTTCGCTGTTTGGCGAGCTAAAATCTGCCCGAAAGGTTTGTGATTCCCCATTTTTTTTTTCATCGTTCCCGCTCGTTCGCGCAGTCCTTCGCTGATCGATGCGACTAACAAGGGAGCTGAACTTGAACATTTTTATTCCTTTTGAAACTTTCCTGATTCGTAGGTAGGTTCGACACAAATATCTCGCGATTTTTACTTATTTCTGCGTTGGTAATTAACGAGCGATGTGGGACAGCATAGGGTCCCGCAGAATTCCTTTAAAGGAGAAAATATGTCCGTGCAAAATAAACGATCAACGGGAGAAATTATATTCAAATCGACTGCAGGAGAAATTGTTCGACTTTGCTCGGTATGGGAGTATTTCTAAATTTTTCGTGGAATGAGAAAAATCACATTGCCATACGTTTCTCCATTTTATGATTTTCGACTCGTACAGAACGTTTTGCACGTCGCCATTTGCTATCGAAGTACACTTAAAATGTACATTATCATTATCGTCATCTACAATCGAAATAGAACGTTCCTGTTTACTTCGGGAAAAGTGACCTTAGAGCTACGCGATCTCAACGTTTCGTTTCAAGTGTACGAATACCGAAAGATTAGAAAGTTTTTACGGGAACTTTTTTTTCCTTAATATTTTAAGAAACTAGTTCGGAATACTTGAACAAATTGATCTGACAGTTCCCAAGGTATCAAATATATCTTTCATCCCCAATATCGTTTCCACCCCTTTAATATAAAAAGAATGCCCATAAAAGATAAATATTCGTATTTCATTTTAAATATTATAATTTTAACGTAAACCTTTATCAACCTCTTTGAACTCTACATCATAAAATAAATATTTCATACGTATTACATTCAAGTGGACTTGAATAATCTCCCACAGATTTGATAGTAATTCCTAAAACGAAACTGCAAGTTCTCTTCTATCGTCCATCTAAATAAAAGGAATTATTCAAATTGTCTTTTTTTCAATAACATTTATTCGCCTGTATAATTGTAATAAATCTAATACTTAGTATGTACCGAAAAAAGTTGACGCGGTTTCCTTGTTAGCAACGAGGTCCGATTTCAATCAATATCTCACTATGCAGTTTAATAAATGAAAATGGCATTAGCAACAAATTATGTTAATTTCGTTTGTATCAAATCAAATTAAATTATTTTATAACAACTGTATTGTACCCTGTTTTTAAATTTCAATGTAAGAACCCGCACGAATGTTCTCTGGTACCTGATATAGAAAAATTAATGAAATTTTCAGGATGGAACCTTGATACACAACAATTCCGTGTTTCTATTTTACGTCGGTCGCAGTCAAAGTTTGCTCATCGGTGACATTGTCGCTCGAATACGGAGCAGGCGTTTGTCTTCGCGTTCCCGATCCGCCATGTTGAACTACTATCCGGATCTCCCATTAGCTGGTCGAAAGAAGGTTTCGCAAGACCGGTTAGGATTCTACTCTGCATTCTCCTGATTTAGTCGCGTTGCTCTTCCCCGAGGAGTCGGCTCTCTTCCAAATAAGCGGCGTATCAGACCGGGCAAACCATCGGCGCCGATGAAAACAGCGGACTTGCAATTTGTGCAGTGTTCCCGTTGAGCCACCGTCCGTTCCTCCGGTTTCTCCTTCTTCCTCTTCTTCTTTTTCCCATTCTTTTTTCTTTGTTCCCGAGCAGCGAGATAAGTAAACGTTCTAGTTCAACGAAAAATCTGGAATTCGGGAGTAATGTCTGGAGAGGAGAGGAGTTTAGTAGAGCCTGACGCCTGACATAAAACCTTATCGAACCAATTTGCTTGTAAAACTTGTTTGCATGTTTTATGATCCTCATCGGGAATTGTAACTACTGCTGAAACAGAAACTGAGGTATTATAGAAGGTCATTTTCAAGAGATACATAAATTTGATATCACTGCAGCGTAGAATTGCACGAATCATTTATTCTCGCGAAAAAGTTCTCGGACGTTTTTGAATGATGCGATCCCTTTTTTTACATCTCTGTTCCTCGAAGTAACAGATTAATTCTTGCTGTTCTTTTAATGGCAGTCTTCTGCGAATACTCGAATAGCTGCTGTTTATCGTTTACATCGTGAAATTGAAATAAATTCTCGCCGCATGTTTTTCATGTATCCCCGTATATATTTACGAAATTTCCTTAACCCTACTCATTAGTTTGACGTTCTCTTTGCTAGTCGGTAGAATCTAAAAAATATACCTAATTTTATGTTTAGAATTTTTACATTTTTAATGATTTTCAAGTCTGCAAACGCTTTAATTGGTAAAATGAAATTGTCTTTTATTCAGACTTTTATGATGACTCTGTTACTAATTATTATCCACTTAATGTTTAGCTAGCTTCTTTTTCTTCATTGTACTAACACTTTACACTTGCAACCAATGCAAACACCTACTCACACTGAACTCTGCTTATCAATAATTTCGTAAGTAACAATCTGGAATACGTAATGCAACGCAACTGTCGACTCGTAACACGTGGTTGGCAATTTTGGAATCAAAACACCTCCACGTTTGTAGCACGTCGCATCATATCAGCACAGCAATGATGTGCAAGTTTAACACGCGGTCAAATTTGAAATATCCTTAATGTGGACTGCACGTTTTTTGCAATTGCTTCGCGTGATACGTTATTCATATAATTTTCACACATTTAAAACATAGTAAATAAAGCGAACGAAGCATTTTACATAAATATCATATATGTGTGATATTTTTGTGTAGTCCAATAGACAATAGGGTATATCATATACAAATATATGTTAAGCTTTTTCGGTTGAATGTCGCTGTAATGGCGACTTCGAGCTTCGATATTCAAAATCGAAACTACAAAAGAATGATTTAATTATTCAACGAAAAACTGATATGTCGATTCATTCGAGTTCGAAGTGAATATTATTCATCCCTGATCAATTATTATACTTCAGAGCAAACATAGACATAAAATCTAGAATCAGAGTTGAGAAAGAGATTACAGGGCAAGTGGTTAAAAATCGTCGAAAAATAACTATAAAAATGAAATGCTTCATAAGAAAGTAATGCAAGCAGAGAAAGAAGTTGGGACAGCATCAAAAACACGGAATTTTTTAATCGCGTTATACGGGGATCTACTATATGTGATGCTGAGCTCTCTAAACGAATCGCTGTGTCACATATATGTAACGCGTGGTCGCGACGTATTAACCCATTAACTGTAAAATTTAGTTTGAAAAATCTCCCGTTTAACGTGCAATAAAACGAAAAAATGAAGTGTGCACTCATCAAGCGGGACGAATGCATCTAGGATATATTTGAATGGAAAACCGAAGTAAAACAAAGGAGAACTACACGTTTATCTGACAAAATGGATAATTCATCGTTGAAAGAATTATATCATAAGCTTTAAGATGACGTGTATACTCGTCAAACGCATTTAACTGGTTAAAATTCACGAAAGCAGTCGCTTCGTGACGTTATATCAGAAGAAAGAACGGATTAACCGTTTGCGGTCCGAATGAATTTTCGACTTTGTCTTGGTTTTAATAAAGTTATGCAGGATGAAGTATAAAATAAGCTAAAAAGCAATCGAATACCTTTATTGATTGCTTTTAATATAAATTAATGAATTGACGTTCAGAGATAATTAAAGTAATTATAATTCTTAAATTCCAAAACTATGTCGAGCAACACCCGACGTTGAACCTGCTGCAAGGAAATGTTATGTCGAGTTAGACACGACATCGGACCGCAAAGGGTTAAAATTGTCTGAAACGAAGTAGCTCTCGCAAGATTGACTTAAGCTATCGGTGATTTAATCGTCGCTAATGTTGTTCGCAGATTCCGGGTCGGAGAGCGGATCACACAAAGCGAGCGTGGGTGGTACCCGAGGATCAGGCAGCCATAAAAGCAGCGGCGGTTCCGATGGAAAGCCAACCAGAGTACGCACGGTACTGAACGAGAAGCAGCTTCACACTTTGAGGACTTGCTACGCGGCGAATCCGCGGCCGGACGCATTAATGAAGGAACAGTTGGTGGAAATGACGGGACTCAGTCCGCGAGTAATTAGGGTATGGTTCCAGAACAAGCGTTGCAAGGACAAGAAAAAGACCATCGCGATGAAGCAGCAAATGCAGGAGAAGGTGAATACACGGCTTTCGATATGTTCAACGTTTCCTGGCGAACGGTCTTTAAGCCTTGGAGAACATTTTTCTGTTTCTTTTACCTTTACGTGTTTAAAACGAACTCGTCACCTTGAAATTATCGATAGCTCCAAGAATCAATGATAAGTCAACGACGAAGGTCGTATGAAATTAACACTAAAGCTACCAAGCATTTCACATAATCAATGCGTAAGACTTATAAAAATTGTAACAGCAGATTTTTGGTACATTTTTCACATTTCTGAATATTTAGTAATTTTAAAATATTAGTCATTGCTAAATAGGAAAACTGAAACCAGTTATTTTGATAAGTAGTTCTAGTGCTAAGTATGATTTCTTTGGTTCATTGTGATCTATATTGCACCGGATTCGTTCTACAAGGAGTATTTGGAGGAATTTTATTAGAGAAAACTATTGTATTAGAACGCTGTTGAACAGCGAACATAGGGAGCAAGAAAAATTTCTTAGGGACTTTATAGTACTTCGCATTCCGAGCAACAATTTAATGAACCGGTGGTGCTTTTTATTGTAGGATGGTCGTAAATTAGGCTTCGGTGGAATGCACGGCATACCTATGGTGGCCAGTAGTCCCGTGAGACACGAGAGTTCCATAGGAATGACGCCACTCGAGGTGCAAGCTTATCAACCACCGTGGAAAGCACTTTCGGACTTCGCTCTCCATACTGATTTAGACAGGCTAGACCCCAACACACCATCTTTCCACCATTTGGTATCACAGGTAATTATATCCACTTTAGAATTTGTATATTGCCAAAAGTAATTATGCCATATTCGAAACAAACATTCAAACAATCGGCCTCTAAATGGCCTCTATCGGCCGTGAAATTTTTTAAATAAAGATTTATTTAAAACCTTTATTATCATAAAACTAAACTTTCAATTAATAATTCGAAAACTCAGTCCGATAAATAATTTTCGAGATAGAGATTCAAAAGTACACTTTTTACTTGCAAATAAATTGAATTCCAAAATACATAAGTTCATTCGACTCCTCTCCGATGAACTTCTTTTTTATATAATTCTGTTCTGTTCCCGTAAAAGTTTGACAAAAGCTTTGGATCTCCATTGCTTGAACATTTTTACATGAATTTTTGCTTTAAAAATAAAGAACATAAACACATTGTGATACTAAAATTTGGACAACTGCAGACATTTCAGTTGTCAATGTAAAAATTGAAACAGATTGTTCAATATATAATTTCTTGGCAATCGTAGATACCGTACATTGTACAATTTACCAAAAATGGTCAAAGTTTGTTACAATTTCGATGATATCTTTTCCAGATGCACGGTTACGATCTTCATAGCGGGCCACCACAGTTGCCACCACCAGGGATGCTCGGTGGGCCTATGAACGACGGCGGAGGTGGTGGGGGCGGGGGTCCTCTGCCACCCCCTGGGCCCCATCATCCAGGCAGTGGCGGTCCAGACATGGGACAGCACCCCGACAGTACCGACAGCTACGTAACTTACCTCGAAAGTGACAGTGACTCCCTTCACCACGATACAGGAAGTCCATAGTGTTGTGCAGTGTGGCCAGAACGAAAGTGTCCGCTTTCTTCGTGGTCTTCTTTTAATAAGTGCTTGAAGAGAATAGTAGTCTGCGAGAACAAATAGGGTGAACATGCACAAACGGGCTCGAACGACGGATGTTGTCTCGAAATCTGTAGGCTTCTCTGGAAAACAGCTTAACCCTTTCGCGCCCGCAGCTATTTTGGAAATGGACGGTAAACGAGATAGCGCTTGACCGGGGAAATGTCTGTGTTATTTTTTTATTATCAAATGATTTCCATCGGAACATGACAGACCAACCGTTTGGAAAAGAAAAGTATGTTTTAATAAACTGGTGATACGGATGCGAATTTTAAACGTAGGAATAAAATTAAGTTGTCAGAATTAACGAAGTTTCTTAACTCCATTCGACGAACTCTGATCTTTTCTAACTTTCAGCTTTCGGAAATGAAATTCTATGATTGTATATCATCGATTTTGTACGCCATACGTTGATACGTGTAATTTCGAACTTTATGTTTATGAATGATTAATATATTTATAAATGGAACACGTTTTGTCTGTTGTCTTTTAGGGAGAACTGGAATAATGTTTAATATTGTATTCAAATTGAGGTACTATGTGTTTTTATCCTGTAAGAAATAGTTTATGCATAAAAAATCACGTGATTGAACTGACTATTTCAGGAAGGATATTTTCGTGTTTATTTACAATGAATAATTCAAAGGTTACTTAGATATTCTGAGTCCTTTTTCATTTTAACCATTCGTCGCTGTTTTTTTAATAACGGAGTGATCTTTTAGGATCTTTTAGTCAATCAGAGAACACTTCAAAGTGATCGAAAAAGTTATTCATTATCTTGACAATAAACATTTGATATATTTCAATATTCTTAAAGCGGTCATTTAATATTTAACTATTGAAACATTGGAATATATCTTTTATAAACTTACTTGAAATAAATGGTAAAGGTCAAAGTAGAAGTACTCAATTTTTTTCTCAAATTTTATTTCGCGCTTGTTCGTTCGCTGCACAAAAATAGGCGGGCAAAATCACTTCCCGCGCGAAAGGGTTGAGAAAATCAATTTCTCGGACGACAAAGGAAAGGAAACTGTAACGAACTAAAACAAATAATTTGTAGGAACATGAGCTTATATAACGGTGGATTGAAGCGAAAGTGAACGAAAAAAAAAGGAAAAATAACTAGAAATTATTGTAAGATACGCATGTCATGAAATCTTACGCGTCCGAAGCGCTTCGATCGTATTTCGGAACGATTCGGGTCGGCGGTTATTCGAACGGATTATTTTTGCCAGAAATAACGTAAACGTCGCGCTCAATGTTTCACGATATTAAAACTGTTTGTACGGCGACCACGTGGAATCCGATTAATCACGAATAGTTCTGTTCAGGAGAAATCTCAGGTAGAACGTGTGTAAACGAACCATCAAAGAGTATTCGACGGTCGACTTTCTCGACGCGTGTCAACTATATTGATCGTTCATTAACGTGACGATGATCGTCTATTAAGGAAAGAAACGAGAAAAACGGTGTAAATCATTGTAATATTTTTTAAACGGAATACCCGCTGAGTTACATTTAGTAAAAGCACAAAAAGAAAAGTAAGAAAGGAAAGAGAAGAAATGCCGAATAATCAAATGAATTGTGAACTAACGTTGACATTGAAGGAAACGGGATACAGGATTTGCATAATTTGCTAAGTGTGCTTAGTCAAATGAAAGAAAAATAAAATAAACGGAAACAGCGGAAACGATAATTCGTATAATTTGTAAGATTGATTTGCTACCGAAGCTTGCACACCGGTGCACCAAAAACTTGTGAAACAAATTAACGCGAATGATCGAATATACCTCCGGTACGAGTAGAACGAAAAAATTGCTCCGACGGTTAAGCTATTAATTGCGTGACTGGTGATTGATTAATAAACTTTAGTGGAACATTGGAGATTCGTTTGTTCGATATTTATTAACTATTCTTTTCAGTGAGCTCCAAGCGACGCGGTGCAATAAGCGTAGCGAAGGATTTCGTTAGATCGACACTCGGCAACGTGTATTGACACGGTTATATAATTAAGTTTTCCAATTATTCTGTTCGAAGACACGACGTTTTCTTGGTAACGAAGCTCGCCGGGTAATGGACATTGAACGCGTCTTCAGTTGAACGATTCGCATCGAAAGGGATTTAGAATGAATTGTATCTGAACTTCTGTTCTGCGACGAAAAATCTAGTGATTATGTTGAAAGTTAGTGACATGATGTTGTATTCTTTGCGCTTTGGCTGATTTTTGTTTGTTCTCCAGTTTCTGTTAGCTCGTATAAATGACCAAAGAGCGTTTTTATCGCTGGGAGGGTGAATGAGCGAGTAAAAGAGAGAGAGAGAGCGAGAGAGAACGAGAGAGAACGAGAGAGAACGAGAGGGAGAGAGAGAGAGAGAGAGAGAGAGAGA